AAACACAAGCACCAGGATTTCACACAAAGGGGGTTGACCGATACATGTCTCACATTCGAGAGACTGTCAGGGGTCACGTTACGAAGGAGCCATTCCAACCGGACTCTCTGTCCACCAGCCCATCATTATACACAAACACACATTGGGTCGACTTCGAAGTGCGAGTTATCTCGTCAGTTGGCAACGGCACTTGGCGCACTGTGAAAGTCACAGGCTCAGATCACACTTGCAGCAGAGAAGCGGTTTGGGGAGGGAGTCGAAACCCACAATCCCCACATTCGTAAGAGGTGCCGGTGTTGTGAGATTTCGGTGGCTTCGATGCGTGGTGCATGTGCTGGTGGGAAAGTGAGTGGTGATGAACTTTCAAGGGACCGACCAGGCCGATGTGTGAGAGGAATGTGCGGTGACAGCGTGGGCAGGACAGGTCTGGAAGCTGCAGAGTCGGTTTTGGCGGTGGTGACGATGGTGGAGTTGCTGGTGGTGGGCGCGCTGGGTGATGGGGGCATGACTGGGTTGGGGTTGGTGGATGTGCAGGGTATGCTAAGCGTATCGATACTGCTGTGTATTCCGACATCCTAGATAGGCATGTGATCGAATAGGTCCATTAGCTGGATGAATGTGCGCGGACAGTGAGGACAGTGAAGGCAGATGCGGCGAGAGTATGTTGTTGCTACAGACACCAGTTCGCCAGTCATTGTGCGATGGATTCGCAAGTGACTGACTAATCCCGTGTGTGAGGTGAACGTATGGCTACAATGAGGACAGGTTGGGACACAGTCCACATTTCTGGAGGTGCGGCTTGTGATGGCGAATGTGTTGGTGGTTTTTGGAGCGTCAGGAGCATTTTCGTCGGCGGCGACGACGGCGGTGAAGGCAGAGGTGGTTATGTTCGTCGTCGCTGTGGTAGTTGTGGTAGAGGCAATGGACGCGGTAGTAACCAACAGAAGTGCGGCATGGGGATTCGAAGCAACGTTGCCAAGGGTTGGCGCTGGCGTGGTCGGCGCGCAGGTCGGAGCAGGGTTTGGGACAGAGCGGATGGTGTCAGCGGATGGTGGCGGCGAGGGATGGTAGAGGCAGGGCAGCGACAGTGTGATCAGCGGTGGCGGGAGTGGCGGTTGGCATGGGGTCTGCGACAGGAACGACAGGGGGAGATGAGGTAGACCTTGTCAGGTTGATGGCGCATTGGGTCCGAGGGCGACAACGAGACCGATTCGTGAGCGAAATGTTCCAGCATGTTGGAAGCGGAGGATAGTTGGTATTTGGGAGAAGAGACACTTGCAATTTGTGGGCCTCCCTTTTGGCTTTGGCGGCAACAATCCGATCTGCTTCGTAGATGGTAGCGCCGGTCTTCACTTTGTACCAGACAGCCATCATAACAGGTCTGGCGTCATTTTTCAGGACCTCGCTGCCTCAAGATCATTCACACCTTCGCAGCGAGCCGTTCCAGACGCTCTGACCTGAAGCCACTTGACCGACTTCATCTCGAACACAACTGTGTCCACACAGCGTCGCGGCCACCCATGCGCCACTTGAACGCGCCACCCCCTGCAACCAGCAAAACAAACCACTAGGACACCACCCCTCGGCAAATGCGACACACACCGCCTGGACACCCCTTGAGCTTGGCCCACGAGCCTACAAAAGCGGCTACCACCAATGTTTCAGGGACTCTCAGGCATTACTTGGCGCAGTCAACACAAGCCCTGACTTCGCCAGTGGCCACTGCCGCCTGAGAGGACAACTCCGGGTTCTGTGCACGCTAAACCCCTAATTTTTATGCCTTCTGACAACATTAGGATTTGGCCTGACGATAGTAGCGCTCCGAGTACGGACATACACACTCACACCGCGTGGTCACTACAACTTCTCTTCGCCATGTCCGTCTGTTCTGGTCGAGGTTCTCCCAGATCCACGGGTTGATCTGGAACCGCTCCAGAGAGTCCTTCAACTTGTAGCGCCGTTTTGGTCCTCCAAGTCAATGAGTACTCGTAGCGACATCACCAAAGAAGAGTTATTTCAATAGTCGTGTGTCTTCCATCCTCACGAGGTGACCATTCCAGCGTAGCTGCAGTTGCCTGAATATGTCATGAATGTTGGGGATGTCGTCTCGTACTAGAAATTCCGTGTTGGGGATCCTGACTTGCCATCTCAGCCTCAGTATTTTGCGAAGGCATCAGAGATGGAGGTGGTTGAGTTTCTTGACATGATTGGAGTAGATGGTCCAAGTCTCCACTCCGTAGAGAAGTGTCGTCTGAACGATTGCCCTTTACATCCTCAGTTTGGTATCCACTTGGAGACCGTGACGATTCCACCACGAGCGACCTGGACATGCAACGGAGCCTGGATCTTTTCCCCGCCAGGTTCGCCAACTTCAGCCTGACTATCAACACGGACAAAACGGTGGTCATGTACCAACCGTGGTCGCCCAACACGCAACACTGCACTCCTCCTGGAGTCATTTTCGACGGCCGCCAACTCCAAACCGTGGGCAACTTCGCCTGTCTGGGAAGCACATTTTCCAACAGCACCAGAATCGACAATGAGGTTCCCCACCGGATTTCCAAAGCTACTCAAGCCTTTGGTCGGCTGCAGAACTGTGTGTGAAATCGTTATGACCTCCAAGTGGATACCAAACTGAAAATATACAAGGCCGTCGTTCGGACGACACATTCACGAAAACCCGCAATGAACAACGGCCGGCTACTTCAAACATCCTCCACTAGCGCCCTCATCACAAACAAAATCACCACTTCACGCACTCGATTACCACATCCCACGCAAGTCGAAATTGTGCTTCTCGGCTCTCTCTCCATTCTGCTTCTCTGCTGCATGTGTGGTACGACCCTGCGACATTCACGGTGCGCCAGGCGCCGTTTCTTTGAAGGTTGCTAACTGATGGGATAACTCAGTCCTTGCAGTCTGCCTAGCTGTCTGTTTGTGAGTGGAGCGGCAGATTGGTGGGCTGAGATCAAGGCTTTATGTGACTTTCAATCGCTGAATAACTGGTCACCTAGCCTTTGGAGGATTATGGCCTAGGCAAACGAAGGCCTGTGCATCACCCTTTCGGCCCCCAAGGTTTGTGAGCGTCTACTATGCTGTGGTCAACGAATCATGTCCTTTGCAGCCTGATGTGCGCTGGCAGTTCTCCGCTACTTGGTTCTTTGACGGTAGATTCGTTTGCGCTCCCGCTGGGTATACAAATCGTGTGCATGGCTGCCCAACCATCCTCCTCGCTCTGACTCGTCTTGGTGCTGTCGTTGGTTAAAATCCTTGTCGATTGTTGAGTGGAGCGCCAAGGTGTAGATTTAACCGTGCCATCCACCTGCGCCCTCCCTTCCTCCGGATCCCCTGGCACTGTCTTGACACTAGCCCAGGTGGGGAGAAGGGGGTGTGCGGTGGATGCAGCGTAAGCCTGTAGTCACTATAAACTAATTCACGAGAAAGTCATCGTGCCTGTTTCACATTGCTGTAGATCACACGGTGGACACCGTCGGATGCGACGGTCGAACTACTAAAAATAACAACGAATTTCGCCGAATCAGTCAACTTCGTGTATCAGACTTGGTGGATTCCAGACGTTGCGGTAGGTTGGGCGGGTAAGTTGACCCAAGTGTGATTAAGCTCGCATCGTCCGGCGGGGCCTCGTAGCTCAAGTGGTTAGAGTGTTGGCTGTACTAAAGCCTTCCTCTTACTACGTGGGTTCGAATCCCACCGAGGCGCCGAGTTTTTGACAGTTGGGTCAATATGAATTATTCAAAATCTGCCAAAACATCTATGAATAATCAGGATGTTTGGCAAGAGCACGACTAGACATTTCACTACTACCTATAGAACTCAGTAGGCGTTATTTATTTTAAAACAAGAAGATTGTGCTTCATACGTTTATTTTACCCAGATGCATGAGTGATAGCTCACCCGGGTTACAGCGTTGGTCGTAACCTTACGTGATTACAATTTCTTATTACTCCATCCTAGTTATGGAAGCAGAAGAAAACTTACCATTTCGTGCCTGAGTGCATGCAAAATTATGAAAGTACAAATGTCTCTGTTTTGGTTATGCTCGGACTGAAACTTCTCATGTGGCTAAGGGTTCTAGACTACCTCTCAGTCATCGCTCTCTTCCGTCAACCTCACAACTTCTTCCTCCACTTCATCCTCCTCCTCCCCTTCCTCCCCAGTAGTGTACTCTGTCGAAATATTCTTCTTCTTCTTCTTTTTGAACTTCAGTTTCATCTTACAAATTGTTGTTGCAGCAGCCAGCTGTAGCTCCCGGATGCCTGAGCCTAGCATCTGGATTAGCAGGTTGGACAGGCCGAGATCCTTCATCCGTCTCGAGATCACCGGCTGTTGATCGAGGGTATAGATCACATGACCAGCTGTTCGCTGCAGCTCCTCATGCGGGGGCTTCAGGAAGGAGAAGAGTCGAGCCAAGTGCTTCTCTGTCAGGACGCCTGAGCACTTACTCAGACCCTCTGATGCATACCTCAGTGCCCTTACAAGAGCTAGGCACGAGTCAGTAGTGGTTGCCTGATCCAAATAGCCAATCAACAACCGAGTCACACCCAGGTCTGTAAGGATTGTGCGATAGAGGGTTACTTGTTCCATTTCCGCGATAAAAGAGAACCCCCAACGTGTTACCTCCTCGAGTACTGCTTTCTTCTGCTTTTCTACTGTGTTCCGACTCTGCTCAGCCAGATCACGCAACATCGTAACTAGATGGTGGAGGGAGGAGGCTACTGGTCGGAGTATCGCCTTCTTGTCCGGCGCCTGCTGGAGCAGCCTATAGGCCGCCTTCAGAGCAGCGGCCTTAATGGCTATAGCTGGGTGTTCTGAGAGGGAGAGCACTACACGAAAGATGTGTGCATCCAAAAGTTTAATTAGGATGCCTCTGTGTGCGGTTAGCGTCGCCACCACACCGATGGAGGGCTCCAGGACGGAAGAGTTCCAAAGAGTGAGCAGATCGCTGACGGTTCGAATTAGCGCTGGATCATTATCGAGCACCTGCAGGGAGGCTGGTGACTGCTCAAACTTACTCAGACATTTTAGGGCTGAAGCTGCGCAGCACTCAATCTTTTTCAGTTTCAACAGCTTTGGCGATATGACACAGGGGACTTGGTAGTGGTTATGAATGTGAGGAGTTAGGAGCGAGATGAGATTTATGAGTTCACGTGTGAGACCTAATTCTGCCAGATTTTCAGTGTACTTTTTGTCTTCTGTAAAAGCCGTTAGAGCATCGAGAAGGGAACTGAGAAGGAGAATATGTTTGGCGTTCATGTCGCCACTATGGGCTTCCAGAGAGTTCTGCATATCTATCGAAGTCAGAACACCCGAGGTGGTGTGATTTTCATCTTTACTAGGAGCCACTTTGGCCACCGCGATGAGCATTTTAGTGTCAAATGGATCTTCAGATAGCCAGGAACTCGACATTATCGATTTCACAACATTTGATTCCCGTTTGATCGCGTGGAAGAAACCGGTAGAACCGTTTCTTCGCAGGAAATCCTCACGCACTGACTCCTCAAGCAGACACATGCTTATAACTTTGGTACTATTCACCCGCAGCATTACATTTGGATGTTCGCTGGCTTTGAGAAAGGTTGTCAATGCGTCCCCAGTTATTATCGTCTTTCTGTTCACATCTTCCTTGGCGCATATGGATAGGAAATGATAAGCCGTCACCAGGATTTCTATTTCCGGGCAACTGAGGAGTTGCATTGCGAGTGGAACAGCTCCAGCCCGACGAATCAGCTCGATATTGGGCGAATGCATAGCCAAACGAGAAATGGTTTTAAGCACACTAGCTGTAGCAGCCACTACTTTCACCATCTGGGCGGGCAGCTTGAGCACCTGCTCGTCCTCCGTTTCTACCCCATCCTCGAGGGGTATTTTCGTGGGTGCGTAAAACTGCTCCACATCCGAGACAAGTCGTCCCAACAAGCAGACAAGTTCACTTATGAGGTGAGTCCGGTAGGCGATGGTTCGTGTTTCCTTTAGATAAGCAAGTTGTGCCAGCACTTCCGCTGCCTGGTAGCACACACCCTCAGCGTTGGAAGATAATAGACGGGCCAGAGAAGGTAGCCCACCTAGTCCTACCACCAGCCTGGCGAAGTATATTGTCTTGCATAGTTTTAGGAGTACCTTGATGACTGCCTTTTGAACGCGAGGCACGTCTGCACCTAGCAAATTGAGCAGTACTGTGATGCCTTCGCTGCTCTCCAGAGCCATAATTGTGTCCATATTGCAATCTATGTGGGTATGGATGTTGAGAAGGGCGATTATGACGCCGTTGGCATTACATTCTCTCACGTAGTCGAAGTATTTCTTGAGCTCTCTCAGTTGGTTGGACTGTTCGGCAGGACATTTTTTTGCGAGAAGGATCCTCTCATAGAACTCCCTGATAGCAACATCGTGATCTATGTCTGGCGTCTCGGCGTACTGCGAACTGGACGGACTAGTGTCAGTAGCAAAAACCAACGTCTCTTTAGCTGTTCCATATCGCGTTAGATTGCAGAGGTCATTATTAGCATACTTTTTCTTTTCACGTAATCGAGAGCCAGGGCGCCGCTGAGTTGAACGCATTCGATCATAACTCACGGCGTCCGTATAAGTGCCACGGTGGAAATTGCTGCTTACTGCCCTTCTTATTTCGTCAATACCTCTGTAGGCACGTCCCGACTGGCGATGCGCTCTGGTCAAACCAGCCGAAAGACACTTAGCCACATACTCGTCCAGTCTCCTCTCCCAAAAGGAGTACTTTATTTCTTCTTCGGCAGCTGCATTTGCTTCCTCTGAGGACATTCTTGTAAGCCCTAGTCGAGGGGGTGCGAACGCTAGCCGCGACGCCAACCTCCAAAAGTCGCTATCGTGACTTTGTTTCGATCGACTTTTTCCACGTGTTTCATCGATCGCCGCACCAGTGCGACTAAGCTCACTTAGTCCTGCTGCTGGAGGGGTCTTGGTCAATCAAGACCAGCAGGAACAGTCAACGCATTACTCTGATGATGGAAACGAGAGGGTTTCCGAAACGTCAGTACAAATATAACTCGGTCCATGAATTCGCCCTACCTTCTTCGTCTTCTTCGGGGGATGATGAACGCGATGCAATATCTGGACCTCGAATCTTTACCCATATCAGTTTGTAGTTTGTAAATCCGGAATGCAAGTTTTACGGTAGGTCGGATTCAAAATTATTCGGCGAGTGAGAAAGGTTTTAAAAACCAAATAATACCCTTTTTCGAGTACAAAATTGGAAGAAGACGCAATTTTCTACCGAATGAGTAAATTAGTGAATATTATATGCATGTTTTCCATGAAATATAATTGAATTTTTATGAGCATTGAAAATTAATGAAAAAAATGCATGCTACATAAGTAGTCATTTTTTATAAAGTGTGGTTTTTGCATGCGGCCGGAAAGAAGTTCGTTCGAAAGCCGGCGTCCCGAGGTAACTGAATTGTGATACAATTTTGCTGCCCGAAGATTAATTTTACAACTCCACTTAAGTAATCTTTTCGAAATGTAAACGCATTTCAGAATTCTGGTTGACACTTCATAAGTTAGCACACCTACTGTAAATTTCCACTGAATTCTGGGTCTTAAACTTATTTCAAAGAATAGTTTACACCCGAAAAGACTTCCATGCGGAAGATGTGACATGGTGTACAGGTGACGTCCTGTTACAAAAATTGGGCCACGTCTGACTCAGGAAACTCAGCTTCCTGGCACACATGCACAGACTAGCCCTACCCGCTTTCGGTGAAAGTGTTTATGTGTTGATACTCTCTCTCTCTCTCTTTCTCTCTCTCCCTCTTCCCCACCTCCCTACTTCATTCTTTGCCTTCACACTCACTGCCTGCGGATGAAAAGGCAAAATCAATACTTCTGGAGATTGGTATGGGCGCAGTGACCGACGACGTGAAATGGCCTGTTTGTAAGTGGCACCTTCGACCTACTCCCAAGTGATAAGTGCCACTTGGCTGCATGACCCTCACTCCTGGGTGGGACCGAGTGATTTCGTTGGTTGGTTGTCCTCCAACCTACGATAGTGAGCTATTTAGTGGTAGTTACGACTCAAATTTGGTTGCCCGTGATGTACACAGTAAGCATTTAATCCAGGCCGGGTCGGGCTCAATCGTTCTTCCTCCTACCGTGTGTCAGTGGCAAGTCCAAGTCAAACTGATTAAGGATGAAGCAGGAGGCAGCGGCTGACCTGACTTGGAGAATTCCACAACGTCAGTACATCATAATCCTCCACACAAACCAGACTTTTGGTAAGGGGCTTCCACCACTTCCAAAGGAACAGCTCTCAAAAGGCCCCATTTAAAATGGACTCCTATAGGGTAAGTCTCGTTCCAGAATGGGATTTGGTCGTCCCTCCAACTCGCAAAGTAACCGGCAACAATGTTTTGGAAGTATTAGTATTCTCAAGCTGGTTACTGACTCAGGATTCGTGGCTGCATTGCTGCCACAGCCTCCACTTAGCCCTGCCATGCACTCAATGATCCCTTACTCTCCACATACAAGGCATTACAAAAAATATCTTGGTAAGATGTGGTTATATAGCCCCACCTGATGGACACAATACTGTTGAGATTGGGGTTAGGAGTTAGGGCTAGGGACTAGGGTTAGGGGTTATGGTTAGGGGTTAGAGTTAGGGTTAGGGCAACTATTTCTCAACCACTCAAAGTATAACCGTGCATTCCCAATATCTCTTCCTTTGCATACAACTGCTTGACCTCGTCTCCTGTGCGTTCTCCGGCCCCACCCGTAAAACGCCATATTACCACCGGTCCCGTATCATAGGCGGCTGGGGTTTGTTTACTTCAGGCGGGGCTACATAACCACATCTGACCAAGATTTTACAGAGGGTAGAGATGTATACGCCTACATACAGAATCATGCAGGGATTTCAGACGCCGACGTACTGCGCAAACTAGCCTTGCTTGAGACGCACCTGTTGGATAAAACTGTAGAGTAAATAAATCGGAGAAAATCCTTAGGGGATTGTTGATGGATTTTTTACGGCAGTATACCAAGTCTGCTGGACATACGTAGGAGCTTTCCAGCCTTTTAGCTAGCTTGTAACTATTTGTGAAAGGTCCAGAATGTGTCCTTGCATCGCCGCTTCTGTCCGTCTAACTTGCGAGCCCCCATCGTCACGTCACTGTAGAACCGTCGTTCAGGCAGGCGCTCGCCTGGCATTCTTAAGACACGGTCGCTCCAACGCGGTTTGATCCTCTCATCCCAGCATAGATGCTGAGCACTCCCGTTCACGCCAGGACTCCAGCGTCTGGAGTCATTTCTTCCTACTTCACCTTCCCTTTTTCTTAGTGACAAATAAGATGAAAGTGGCTTGGTCTTCTTGCGTGGTTCTTCTACGCCGTCCAAATTTTAACTTTGAAGTGAACGTGGTCAAAATGACAGTCCTTGAACATTCTCAGTTTCTTATCGAAAAGGATGGCTTACCAGTTCCAGACTGGATCTTGCAACCTGTCGAATACTTGACTGGCTCTGAAGATTGGGGTTGTAATGTCGTACTCGATCTTCATGTTCCTTGAGGTGGCCCTCCCCCTTTACGCGAATTTATTCACAGCTGTGGTGGGAGTTCCGTTAGCACTTACCAGGGCTTGGTTGGATTCCTCATTTGGCGCCCCTTAGGATTTGAGCACTGTTCGTCTGTGCTGATGCTAGATGCCTTCGCAACCGATCCCCTGCACGTGGCGCATTCTGTCGTACCGTTGTCTGGTTATCTGCGGAAATCATTTCGGACATCTGACCTACAGTCGTGGTTCACAGTGTCGAAGGCTTTTTCAGAACAACGTATATGGTGTGGAGGCTGGTTCTCATTTCTTGAAATCTTCTACGACTGATGTACCATAAAAGCCGTGTTCGCTATTCATCGTTGTTTCGGTAAACAGAGTTTTGTTCCTGGAAGGAATCCCTGCTCCAGGTATGCATTTAGGTGCTTGAGAAGAATACGGACATCCATCTGAGCAATGCTGAGATGGGAGATCTTGCAGCGATTGCCGCACACTTTCTGACTTTTATAGTTCACATCTTTTCAAATACGGAATCTGTGATTTCTTGCATGACAGGATAACGCCATCTGAACAGAGCAGTAGAGCAATTCTGATTGGCTGATGGTCGTAGTTTACCCTGGCGACGCAGAAAAATTCTTCATACTCCCGCAGTCAGCGTGTCCTCATACTTTTTCCGTCTTACCTGTTAGGCAGTCAATTTCATCTTCTTTGGTCACTACTGACTTGATTTCTGCACCGGATGAAGGGAACCTTATCTGGGCCAGTCCTACTGTTAGCACGGATTTTAGTAGCTTGTTTTACTGGAAGAGGAGGCGGCTAATTCCTTCGTTGTTCTCAGTCTTGTTTACGCCGTCGTGTTCGTTCAGGAATTCCCACAACAGTTACATACCCGGTGTGCGGCGGCTTCTTCCAGTTTGCTCATCATCATCGTCATCAACATCCTCATTATTATTATTCTTATTATTATTATTAATTATTATTATTATCATCATTATTATTATTCAAAATATACACTTTTATCGCTGAAATCCAGTTTGTGTTTGGCCACTCGTAACAATTCAGTTCAGAGGACAGGAAAACGTGTTGAGGAGGAGAAGATTGCGCTTTGTTTATGTCGATGAGAGGAACTCCTTTATGTATCAGCCGATGACTGTGTTGCTACCTACGGAGGCATTTAAGCCACTGCGAGTAATAAGTCACCGTGTGGGGAGGACACGCGGGTCATCAAAGGGCTTATCCTTTAGTGGTGATATTTTTCTCCTGAAAT